TAGCACTACACAAAACTACAGCCTATAGCCTGCAGGTAATCTTGATTAATTAGGTATCCTTCATATTCGTTAACCGGAAAAATTCAAAAAGGCAAGCAGCAAACACGACCTGCTCTATACTAGAAAATACCAAATATTTTATGCCTATAACCATTCACCAGTAAATCAGAGATTGGAGTAATTAGTAAAGGTTTAGAAAATTGATTATTCCTTGCCTCACGACGGTTGGACAGGCGCACCACGCAAGGAGGAAACTCAGGCGGCAGGCGCAGCCTCGCAGTCGCAAGGAAGGGTTGAACTGAAGGTGGAACCGTGGAGGAGTGGAGGCGGTCCAGGCGAAGCAGCGTGGAGGAAACTCAGGCGCAGCGGCTGCCGGCAGGGAAGTGAAGACGGGACTGGGATTGGGAGTCTCTGGTTCAGCAACAGCAAGTTGAGCCCTTGGAAGTTGGAAGCCGTTTTAGACTTTTACTGGGCCGCCTAATTTTGGGACCGGGTCATTTGCTTTTGTTTTGGATTTGAACTCTTTATTTATTTAAGTAAATATTGAATCTTTTGTTTAAATTTAAGATTTTTGTATTATTGAATTTTAATGTGTAAGTTATTGGGTCAATATTTATTAATGAAAAAAAAATTCAAAATTTTGCGGGGGCGAGTCAAAATTCTTGGAGGGGCGAAACTGAAAAATACATTAAAAATTCATTAGAAATAGTGGACCGACGGACAATTTTGGGGGGGCGGTGGCTCGCCCCTTCTTCACTCAAGTATTTTGGACTTTGCTTGCGCAGAGGTAGCTACAGAGTGCGCCTCCATGTTGCTGAAATAATGTATACAAATGACACCAACTTTAGCAGCCTTGGAAGGCGGCTATTTGACGTGTCAATCCAAGTAGGTTCCTTAATTTTCCATCAGACATCTATCTCTTTCTTGGCCAATTCGTTGACGTCTTTTGGATATTTGCTGTCGTGAACTTATTCCTCGGGATTTATTAGGCTCCATTTTTCTCGTTTGTTCTATAGATGGTCAGTGTTCATTTGACTTTTTATGCAGGGTGGGGTTCTTTTGATAGACTTTGACATTGTAAAGGAAGCTAATGGTGTTAGGAAAGGTATTTACAAGGATTTTAATGTCCTCATCAATGGCAGTACTCTGGAGATCCACTTGTACTGGACTGGGAAGGGCACCACTGCCATCCCTGACAGAGGGGTATATGGACCTTTGATATCTGCAATAGCTGTGACGCCAAGTTAGTATATTGTGATTTGAGTGGTTCGCTATCCTTTTGGACCACCTCATAATGAGACCTCTCTTTCCATGCAGACTTTGATCCTGATACCGAGGGGCTATCTGCTGGAGCTATCGCTGGGATTGTAGTTTCTTCATGTGTGGTCGGGTTTTTTATTTTAGCTGTACTTTGGATGAAAGGTTATCTTGGAGGAAAAGATGTTGAAGATAAAGGTGAGAAACCCAAAAAAACAAACGCATATTTGTTTTTTGTACAGTTCAACGAGCTATTAACATAATTATCACCCATAGATGGTTAATAGATTGAGCTTTTGTGCAAAATTATTAATTATTCTTCTCTTCTGCCTCTCTCTGGTTGTGCATCACTACTATTATTTCACTCCTCGTATTGTACGAACTTTAGTCACTGAACAATTTTATGTTATCTTCTCGAGACAGAACTTCGAGCCCTTTATCTACAGACAGGTCACTTTACACTACGACAAATCAAAGCTGCTACAAATAACTTTGACCGTGCTAACAAGATTGGAGGATGAGGATTTGGACCTGTGTACAAGGTACTTACTAAAATCTCCCTCCTTTCAGTTGTTGACTAAGAATATGTTTTATTTATTCCCTGAACGCGTGCAAAAAGAGGAGGATGAAGGCGAGCAAGTATTTTTCCATTTTAGCTGTATTTGATAATTAATCTCCCCTACTAACTATTTTAGAATCTAATGATTAATATGCCATGTATATAATCTGATTTTGATCTCATTTCTTGAGGGTGTACTGTTGGATGGTACAATTATTGCTGTGAAGCAACTCTCCTCCAAGTCGAAGCAAGGAAACCGTGAATTTGTTAATGAAATAGGCATGATATCTGCTCTACCGCACCCTAACCTTGTCAGGCTCTATGGGTGTTGTATAGAATCAAATCAGTTGCTGCTTATATATGAATACCTAAAAAATAATTCTCTTGCTCGAGCACTTTTTGGTAAGTATTTTGCCAGTGTATCTAACTGTCATATCAGCTTTGGTTTTTTCTTTCCTTTCAATTTCCGTGTTCTTTCAATTAGGTCCTGAGGAACAACGATTAAACCTTGACTGGTCTACAAGAAATAAAGCATGCTTAGGAATAGCTAAAGGTCTGGCATATCTTCATGAGGAATCTCGGTTGAAAATCGTCCATAGAGACATAAAGGCTACAAATGTGCTTCTCGACAAGGATTTAAATGCTAAGATATCGGACTTTGGTTTGGCTAAGCTTGATGAAGAAGAAAACACTCACATCAGTACGCGAATTGCCGGAACAGTGTGACCCTTTTCTTCTTATACAAATTTCGGTTAAAAAGGTGGCAGCTGTGTTGTGGTATATTTATACATTATCTTTTACTCGGTTCACTAAGTAATATCGAATGTTTTACATTTCGATGTATTTTTACTTTCAGAGGTTATATGGCTCCCGAGTACGCAATGAGGGGTTATTTGACAGACAAGGCAGACGTCTATAGCTTTGGAATAGTTGCTATCGAAATTGTCAGTGGAAAAAGTAACACGAGTTACAGACCAAAAGAGGAGTTTGTCTACCTTCTTGATTGGGTAAATTATTTTTCCCCCGCTTTTATGCAGATTTAGGTTTAGTCCGTTGATTATTCATTTCACCATTTTGTAGATTCTAATCCTTTTTCTTCTCTTACATTTGCCGAATGTGAAGGCTTATGTCCTACAAGAGCAAGGGAATCTTTTGGACCTCGTGGATCCTATTCTGGGTTCAAAATATTCTGAGGAAGAGGCAATGAGGATGTTGAATTTGGCACTGTTGTGCACAAATCCATCTCCTACACTTAGACCTTCCATGTCTTCCGTGGTGAGCATGCTCGAAGGCAAAATCCCAGTCCAAGCACCAAAAATCATGCGCCGTACCCCAAGCGAGGATATTAGATTTAAAGCCTTCGAGAAACTCTCACAAGACAGCCAAACGCATGTTTCGACATATAGCAACGAGCAAACGAGTGATTCAGTTTATGGGCCATATTGATTTATTCTTCAGGATGAAACGCTGGATCAAACTCAGGGATCATTCTTCAGCAAGTAGGCTTCTTCCTGATTTCTACGATGTAAAATTAGATTGATTGATGAAGCATATCTGATACTTATGGAAATGTTTGGCTAGAATTTCCAATCTACAAGTTCAAGAAACACCTTTTTGATTAGATGATCTAAATAAATATTATTTGTTACCCTTTTCTGTTAAAGTACCGACGGCCCAATTTCTTTCATTTTTATTTTGGAAAGTATTCCAGCATTTTGTCACAGAAGTCAGAATTGTTTGGTGGATGAAACGGGTTCGTTGATGGTCATCAGGTACATGTCCAATCAAGGTTCAGCTTAAAACACTATTATTCACTCAACTTAGAGTCAGCAAGGGGAGATTAGAGTTAAGCTGGCATTTCCTCTTTTTCCGCTTGCGAACATTGAGGTATGGCAGGGATTGGCTCGGTCTTTTCCTGATGAAATCGATAACTAGAGCAAAAATGGGGTTTGCATTTCTATTGGAAGCACGATGATTCGGGATTCGATCTTCTTGGGACAGTCTTACTCGTGGCTTACTCAAGGTTACTTTGGAAAATAATTTGACTACTTCATTCAAGCTCCACTTGGCTCGTGGATATGGCTCAGTGGTGATCTCTTGCAATTGGGCCATTGAATTATGGGTTGGATGTCTAATTGTCCAGACCGTAATGATTGTATTTTGTTCGTGTCTCACTTTTTGAAGAATCGAGAAAAAGACTAAAAACTTACCAGTGAAAGACTATTAAGACAGGCAATAGAGAAAGTAGAGAAGGGACTTTTTTGGTAAGAAAAATCTCCGTCCAATGTTTCATTCAAAAAACTAATGAATATGGTACATTCATACCAAACCATCCTGCTAAAATGCAAATAGGGATCGGAAATGTGGTCAATATTGCGAAGAATAGAGAGAATGTCTATACCAAATAAAAATTTAATTTCAATGTTACTAAATTGCAAGAATAATTACAGGGAATTATTCACAGGCACCATACATGTATTGTGTTGACAGTACCCGTATGATACTTTTTTTTTGTCTGTTTTGATGAAAATCAATCAAAAATTGACAAGTGTCTAACCTGTTAAAATTTTGTCAAACTTCTTATGTACGTGTATCATCACTCAAATTGCAAAAATATGCATGTTCAGTTTATGAGATTCACCAGTAAAAAATAGAAGGGATATTATTTATTGAACTGAAAATCAATTAATGAATTCAATAAATCTGGGATTGTGTGCCAACTGGGTCCAAGTTTTGAATTTGGACCAATGGTGTTTTAACATTTATTTGAAACATATACATGTATAAAACTATATTGAAAACTGCAGCATAACATTATCAGACAACTAAAATATCAGAAATTTTCACCACCAGGTGCTTTTTCTACTAGTTAACTGTTCATCCACCTCGTCTAAATTCTTAAATTTAATGAGCCTTGTTGTCGTCTATTTATTAAAAATGACAATTTTGCTTAAATTTTAAATAGGTTTGATTCCAAGAATCAATAGTCGTCCAGTTTTTATTTGATTCCAATTCTAGTACCTAGAACAAAGAATCATTATTGGTTCTTACCTTTATTTGGAATTTGATAAATGATTTTTATTAGTTAATATTGTGTATGAAGATGGAACTTGTCGTTTGTATTTAATGAAGCTTAGGGGCCGTTCTCTTTCTATTTTAGTTTTCTATTTTGATTTTTAAATTCGTTTTGTACTTTGTGTTTTGAGTGTCTGTTTTGAAATTGTTGAAATGTGTTATGTTTGTTGTTTTGAAAAACTGTTTTTGAAAACATAAAACTAGAAAACGTATTTACTTTGAAATTTTGAGAATTAGCATTTATAATATTTTATTCAAGAAATCTGATTATTCAATAAATTTTAATAGTTTAATATTAATATAGTATTAAATAACATATAAATTTTGAAATTGGTGAATCTTGAAATATTTTTTTCCCAAATATAAAAAACATAACCTANAAGTTGTTAAATTTTGAAATATTTTTTCCACATATTAAAAACACAACCTAAATTTTAACATCCAGGTGGCTCGTCTAAATTTCGTAGCATTCAAATTCAAGAGGCAAAGTGCAGCTTACATCCCATGGCACTTACATCCCTTATTCTAGATGCATAATTTTAATGTGAAATCATATATATAGTGAACACTTGTACATTCATAAAATTCTGCATCTAGACATGTGGCTTCAGGATAACAATAATGGATGTAAGTGCCATGGGATCTTCATAAAAGTGTGAAAATAAAATTTCCTCACAACAGTACGCTTTATAATTCCCACTGAATGGAAATACTTCTCATGCTTATATATTGAGGTTCCTCGCAATAAACTTCACATGATTAGCAAGTTCAGAGCTTTTAGTTGATCCCCTTGGAACTTTAGTTGATCCCTTTTTGTGTTATTCCAGTGGCTAGGTTAAACAATAGGGGAGAACCTTTTACTTAAACTAAGGTTGCCCTGTTTCTCTCTCTCAAAAGGGACCATGCACTGACATGTGCATTCACATTTACACGCATAGCTGTTATCTTGCTGACAAGCCCCAACATTTAAGTTGTTGCTTTAACTAGTTTTACTCTTCCATAATCTAAACTCGTTTTGGTTGGCTGCTTCATTTCATTAATGGCACATTTAGGGACACCTATAAGAATACAGAAATCACAATTTGAGAAGAATTAACCAGTATTCATCTATAGCCAATACATCATAATACTCAAGCCCATGAAAAATTTATTGACCCTTGATGCATTTGACAACAATCTAACCAGTATTCATCTCTACTCCAATCAATCCTTTTAATCTACTTGTGCATCCAGTTCAGCTATAGTGTGTACATTTCTTACAGCCAAAAAAGTGTAAGCAATCTAAAGTTAAATAACAAAGCATCTTAACACATTTTCCTCTTTGAAACCTCCAATTTCCATTACATAGTATAGCGCCACAAGTGCAAACTAACATCAAATCCTAACTGTATAAGCAAAACACCAATTTTCAAATTGAACTCTGCCAACGTTGATATTTCAAAGAGCAAGCATCAATATCGCTAACTGTATAAGCAAAACACCAATTTCTTGTGATTGAATTATAGGCTCCCATCTCCATTGTTTATTCCCCTTTAACCACCACCAATTATTCTTTCACTGCTTCTCCTTTCGGCCAGACCCCGTTCTCTTTCCCAACAATGAATTAAACCAATTTGCAGGAAATATATTTCCAATCTAA